TTTTAGTTTATATATATATTTCATATCGTTTTAATTAAACTATACATCGTATGAAAATACATACTTATATTTTAATATTTGCCTTGAACATATATTGAAAATTTAATATTTTAATATTGCAATATGTCATTGTTTTACAATGATTATAAATTATCAAAACTACTAAACATCTCACATTAAAAAAAATTCGTTGGTGTAATATTTTGTTACATAAATATGCAAATAATCATAAATCTTATGAGTAAAAACCTCATTTAATAAATATATATATTAAAAGTGTGATATATTACTATGCTTATATCATTTAAATTTAATTATATTTCATATACAATATATAAGATTGATTATTTTGATTTATTCACCCTAACTGCGAATAAAAAAGTGATAGATAAATTTATATGCATACGTCAATTTATTATATAATAGTAACTGATTTATTAGTTATTTAATATATATATTTGTTATTTTATAATATGCAGAAAAATATAAAATAAAGAATAATTATAAAATACTTATTGTGTATAAAGTGCAGATCTTAACCTAAGTATGTATCTCTTTAATTATTTTAAATCTTAAGTATTTTCTAAATCCCATGTCAAAACAAATAAACATAATGAGAATAAACTTCAAAATAAACATTTATATCGAGTAATAACCAAAATATAACAAAACACAACAAGAGAAAAAATTGAAGATAAATAGGATTGACATGTGAACGTAAATTTCTCATAACCATAATTAATTTTAAATTGTTAAATCATGATATAAAACTGAGTTAATTTTTATTTTTTTTTAATTTTTTAAATCATTATGGTTATGTTAAATCATGACGATAATTAATTTTAAATTGTTTATTTGTATTTGAAACCTTAAAATATTGTTTTTAAAAATAATTTAAAATTTTACTTAATTTTGTATAAAATTATTTTTAAAAAATTATTTTTAAAAAAAATATAATTTTCTAATATTATTAGACAAATAAATAAATTATATTAAATTAGTTTTGAAACTTTATATACTTTAAATGCAAGTATTTTACTAACTGCTTCTTACAAAAACATTAGGTTACTTGCTAATACTCTACCAATCAAGCCCAATGACACTTCATTTAAAAATAACCCCAATTCTACGTGGCATAGCTCTTTGTCTTCTATTTCAAATCCCAAGAATTCTAGAGCATGTGATATAATGTATAGTTTAAAAATCATATTCTCTAGCATTATAATATTCCATAGGCTATAGTTGGTCGTATATATCAAATATTTATTGTTTCGCATGTTTTCCTTAAATAAAACCTACGAAATTACCTAATGTGATCAAAATATATATATGACAATTAATGATTTTAAACAATAAAGATTTGATAACAATCTGTATACTTTTTTCATTTTGTTTATTTCTTTATTATTAAAAAAAATTACACAATTACATTAATCATATAATAAAGATCTAGATTTTTTTTTTTGTATGTTGTATTTTGAATTTTTAAAAATGATTATAAATTACTAAAACTGTTAAAGTCCCACATATACTTTTAAGATCAAGGTTTTAATTTTTTTTTCTATACTAAAATATAATGATTATAAGACCATATGAAGAAATAATTTTAATTTATATATATTTAATATCATTTTTATTGAACTATACATCGTATGAAAATACATACTTATATTTTGATATTTGCCTTGAACATATATTGAAAAGTTAATATTTTAATTTTGAAATATGTCATTGTTTTTTTAAAATGATTATAAATTATTGAAACTACTAAACATCTCACATTAAAAAAAAATCGTTGGTGTAAAGTTTTGTTACACAAATATGCAAATAATCATAAANCTATGTTTATATCATTTAAATTTAATTATATATCATATACAATATATAAGATTGATTATTCTGATTTATTTACCCTAATTGTGAATAAACAAGAGTAATAGTTAAATTTATATGCATACGCCAATTTATTACATAATAGTAACTGATTTCTTAGTTATTTAATATATATTTATTATTTTATTATTTATAATATGCAGAACAATATATAATAAATCATAAATATAAAA